GCCAAGTTCTTTCATACTTAGGTGCCTTTGCCCAAGCTATTCCTTTCATCCTGCTCCCTTCCCAGTTCTACGCCTACCCCTCCTTGTCTAATGTCTTTTTGTCCTTGGAGACCGAACTCAAAAGTCTCATCCTGTGTTACTGAAATATATGGCACCTAATGATTTCTTTTTTTTTTAAGATTTATTTTATTTATTTTAGAAAGTGTGCGAGCGGGAGATGGGGCAGAGGGAGGAGGGAGCATCCTCAAGCAGACTCCCCGCTTAGTGCAGTGCCCCTCTCGGGGCTCTATCCCAGCACCCTGAGATCATGACCTGAGTCAAAATCAAGAGTTGGCCACTTAACCGACTGAGCTTCCCAGGTGCCCCCCTAATGATATCTGTTATTAATTTTGTACTCTGCTACCTCTGAATTACTGTATTTTTGTACAAATTTTGTTCGTTTGATTTTCTGGGTATAAAATCAGATCGTGTGAGAGCAGTAATATTTGATCCACTCTTTCACAGGTTATATGCTTCTAATTTCTTTATCTTCTTTATTTGCATTCCTCCACAACCCTCAGTACAATGTTAAGTAATAGTCATGTTAATGGATATTTCTTAATTGCCTAAAAACGCTTCAGAGTGAATAAACATACTTTATAAGCTAAAAAAAAAAAAAAAAAAAGCAGCCTATCCTCTGAGAACTTATATCCACATACCTGCCCTTTAAATATGAAGGGAAAGGGGGTGAGTCAGATAGCTTTCTTCTGTACATGTTCCTGTAATGTCCTGTGTATACTTTTGTTAGTGTTCTTATTGCAGTACATTTGCACTACTTCTCAAACTTTTCCACATCCAGGCAGAGGAGATTGTATCAGACTTACATATAGCCTGCCTGAAATTTTACATTAATATCACATGTAGTATCTTAGCCTTAAAAAATATATAAAATTTACATTTGATTCCATAGAAAAGGTATAGTTAACCTAATATAAAAACATTTTATTTGTCCTGGAATAAAATTGATCTTTGTCAAAGATGATAATGTTTATTGTGAAATTTCAAGTTTTCTCTGTAAGCTGTCCTGTTTTGTTCTTCAGATGTCTGTGTAACCCAAGTTTGATAAATAGTAAGCACTTTGATGTCAGGAACTAGGTGTTTTATCTCTGGAGTCCCAGCATTAAACATAATATCTAATACCCAGTAGATGTTCACTATTTATTTAAAAAAAAAAATGAATGAATGAATGAATGAATGAACAAAAGTTCAGTTTTGTAATAATAGTGTTAAATGTTAGCATTGTTAAACATTTTAGATATTTTTCCCATAGAAAAAATATGACTAATGACACTGTGAAAGTCATGCATTTTTAAAAATCATTTTCTGGCCTATACAATGTAACAAAACTTTAAAAAGAAACCATCTATAGGGGTGCCTGGGTGGCTCAGTCGGTTAAGCGTCTACCTTTGGCTCAGGTCATGATCCCAGGGTCCTGGAATCAAGCCCCACATCGGGCTCCCTGCTCAGTGGGGAGTCTGCTTCTTCCTCCCCACTTGCCCTGCCTGTGCTTTCTCTCTCTCTATCAAATAAATAAACAGAATCTTAAAAAAAACTTTTTATAGTTAAAAGTATAAAATATACAGGAAAGATCACATTGTAAGTGTTCAGTGCAATGAATTTTCACACACTCAACAGTTTCACATAACTAACACGCATATAAAAAAAAAACTTCACGTGCCCCTCAGAACTCCTTCCATGCTCTCATTGTGTCACTGAAACCCTTTTTATCAGCATATATTTGTTTTGCAAAATCATTTTATACTTGAGTGTGATTTAAGACAAGTAACCGATTGAATAGAGTATTTGTTATTCCCATGACAGGTTAGTGATTTAGTGATCATTACTACTAGCCTACATTACAAAATGTAAAAAATAATTCGTTTTAAGTACTATTTTCAGTAGTTTGCTTTAGTACTAACTAGAAAAAAGTAATTAGAATTATTCGTAATGCCCATACACTTGTATACTATTCAACACAAACATTTTGATAATAAGCATTAAGTAATAATCATTTTAGCTTTTGCATTAAATAATTAATGAGCAGTAAATTCTTTTGAGCTTTTATGCCTAATTCTCAAATTACCCTGATTTTTGTTTGACCTTCTTTTGTTTGTTTAGAGTAGTAATTCTCAATGGGGAGGGAGCCCGATTTTGTGTCCCAGGGGACAGGCATTTGGCAGTATCTGGAGACATTCTTGGTTGTCATAACTGGAGAGTGCTACTGACACCTAGTGGGTAAAGGTCTGGTTGCTGCTAAACTTAATTCACAGAACAGCCCCCCACAAAAAAGAATTATCTGGCCCAAAATGTCAATAGTACTGAAGTTGAGAGCAATATTTTCTAAAGAATGAGTGGGTTGTGTTTGATTTAGATTAGTTCAAACAGGTTATAGCACCATACTAATAATGTACAAGTTATTAGGACTTTAATTTCCCTAGGCATTAGCTCATCTTTCTGTGTAGTTTATTCACCAGACCCCAAACAGATGTCTTGAACATTTGCTAATGATTATAAGAAGAATGAGATGAGACAATGTAGAAGTATAAATCTATCACCACTTCTGGCAAAAGTCTCAAATCCAGCTCTCTTAATAACATTTTCTTGCCATCTGTTGGGAGGCGTTAAATAGAGAATCTAGTTGCTCTCCACAAACATTCATGCATACTCACACACCTCTATGCCATTCGTTTCTTCCAGTGATTATGGAAGGTTAGAAACACTGGAGTGCGGGGTGCCCAAGTGGTATAATCGGTTAAGTGTCCAACTCTTCATTTCTGTTCAGACCATGATCTCAGGGTCGTGAGATGGAGCCCTGCCTCAAGCTCTACGCTCAGCGCAGAATCTGCTTAAGATTCTCTCTCTCCCTCTGCCCCTCCCCCTGCTCACTTGCACTTTCTCTCTCTCTCTAAAATAAATAAGTCTTAGAAACACTGGAGTGCACATAAATGCCAGTAACAAAGTTGGAAATTAATATCTAATAAAGTTGTTTTTCGTGGCTGTTTCTTAGGAAGTAGATTTTTGTGTATTTCAATGTCATCTTGCGAGCTTGTTCTGGTCTTGACAAGTTGACCTGCCCTGAGCAAAGAGTCACATTTGAGGCATAGTCTTAAAACATTTGTTGTGCAGTGGCGCCTGGGTGGCTCAGTCGTTGAACGTCTGCGTTCGGCTCAGGTCATGATCCCAGGGTCCTGGGATCGAGCCCCGCATCGGGCTCCCTGCTCAGTGGGAAGCCTGCTTCTCCCTCTCCCACTCCCCCTGCTTGTGTTCCCTCTCTCGCTGTGTCTCTCTCTGTCAAATAAATAAACAAAATCTTTAAAAAAAAAAAAAATTTGTTGTGCAAGAAAGAATTAATGACAATATATACCAATTCTGACTTTATAAAATATTGCTCTAAAAGTATTAGAGAACACAACAAACCAAGATTTACATAGTTGGAATTATAAATCTACAAGTCTGTAAACTTAATGAAAATTAGCTTAGAATTTGGCATTTGATTCTACTTATTTAACTGTGAAAACAGATACAAATGAAAACATTATATGAAGAAAATTAAGGCCAATTTGAATAAAATAATCTCTGTTTTATGTTGTAGCTTTTTTATATTATGGGAGTATGGATTTTATTAGTATTGTTTTGTTATCCTAAGAAGAAGTAAAATGGTTCATAGATGTCTAGGCCTTTTCCAGTCTTTTTTTTTTTTTTTTAAGATTTATTTGTCAGAGAGGGAGGGAGCACGAGCAGGGGGAGGGGCAGGCAGAGGGAGAAGCAGGCTCCCCACTGAGCAAGGAGCCCGATGCGGGACTCAATCCCAGGACCTTGGGATCTTGACCTGAGCCAAAGGCAGATGCTTAACTGACTGAGCCACCCAGGCGTCCCGCCTTTTCTAGTTTTTAAAGAATATGATATATTTGATGTTTGAGAGGATGCATTAGCTTTCATGTCAGATCTAGGTCCAAATTCTGCCATTTATGAACTCTTCGGCCTTGGATCTGAAAACTCTATTGGCCTGCTTTGCCGCCGTAAAAGAAGGGACAATAATACTTAATGATAGAGTCACAAGAATTAAATAAGATAGTAAAAGAATGGCCAACAGGAGGGAAGGATAAATATTATTTGGAGTCATTGGTTCATTTGTAAGTGGATTATAGTGGTCAAGAGCATAGGTTTTGGAGTCAGTGAACCAGGGTTTAGACTCTGCCTTTGTTGTCTCTTACCGCCGATAAGGAGGGATTGAAATCGTAACTGCCAGAAGCAGCCCACACAGTCCCTGGCACAGGGTAGGCACCAACAAGTGGAAGTCGTGAGTGCCTGGAATGTTCTGAGTTCTGTCAGATAAAATGTGGTACTTAGTCCCTTAAGAAGTTTATCACACTGCATGCTGAGTCTTAAAAATTGGGGAGCTAATACTGTTAATCATTTTTAGTTTACTTAATAATGCTTAGTTTAAATAATGCTAATCAGCATAAGTAGTAATACTAATAATGTGAATAGTATATTTGGAGCAAAGTTTAAGTACTTTTGTTTTCCTACCTTGGCTGTCATTTTCAGAGCGCTTCACAAACTGTGGAGAATGAGGGGGCAGGGCCAGAGAGGAATCACGGAGACCAGTGTGAATGCTGTGCAAGTTAGGGTGGGGGCAGGGGTGGTGGTGAGAACATTAAGACTGTACTCAAGGCTTGCAATTTGATAAAATAAGCAGCTTCACTGTTGCACCAACAATATTCCTAAGGGAAATTGGCATCTTTTTTTTTTTTTTTTTTTTAACAGCGAGTACTTGGCAGAGAATATAAAACCTAACAATATAGTTTGGTGCCACTGTCTTCATTCTTAGCAAGATACCAGCAGCCCTACCAAGCATTGCTTTTGCACCTTCGATGCTAATGTCAACACAGTGGCATGCTGAATTTTTAAATGTGCTGTTTCTGGTAACCATGGTCCGTCCTCTCCCTCTTTGACTGTAGATCCTAATTATCTCATGGCTAACGAACGCATGAACCTGATGAACATGGCCAAGCTGAGTATCAAGGGCTTGATTGAATCTGCTCTGAACCTGGGGAGAACTCTGGACTCAGACTACGCACCCCTCCAGCAGTTCTTCGTGGTGATGGAGCACTGCCTGAAACACGGCTTGAAGGGTAGGCCGTGGCCCCAGGATGCAGATGTGCACGCAGCTATATTCTGGCAATACATGCTCAAGAGGAAAAGCGGTCTTTATGGAGCCAAAGAATAAGAGGCTTGAATTAGTAATACTAACCTATTGGAATGCCCCCTATATGGACACAGGGATGTGGTTGAATTAAAGGGCATACAGGGCTTACAAAACACTGGTTACTAAATGCTAGAGCTGGAACAGACATTACTGTCTAATACGGTCCTTCTGTTTGACAGGTGGAAACAAGGCCTAGAATGGGAGGTAACTTGCCCAAGGTCACACAGTGGACTCTTGGCTGTTGTGCTCTTCCACTTAACCATAAGCTTTTGAGGGCAGGACCTGGTCTTGTTCTCCTTGCTTCCTATCCTTCTCCCTCCCCAGTATCTAATAGCCTGTATTTCCTTTGGAAAAGAATACGTAATCCAGAAACAGGCTATTAGATTTGAATCAAAGCAGTTGATTCGTGGCAATTAGTGGTCCTCACTAATACCATGCAGCTTTAAGTACTGTATTCTTAAAATGTTTTATTATATCATAGAGCTAGTTATAAGTTCTTCCTGAAAGAGGAAGGACTGAGTCTTGGGAAGTGGGAGATTTTTGATTGTCACAAAATGTTACCTGTTCTGAAAGCATGAATAGTTTTAGAACTGTCTGATAATTTAGGTCTAGTTCCCTGAGAAAAAGGAATGAACAGATGAGAGAGAAGTGTGTGTATGTGTTTATGTTTTGAGGGCATGTTTATGTTGTAAAGAATATTGAAATACTGTTTTGTTTTTATCACCTTAGCTAAGAAAACTTTCCTTGGACAAAATAAATCCTTCTGGGGGCCTCTAGAATTGGTAGAAAAGCTTGTTCCAGAAGCTGCAGAGATAACAGCAAGTGTTAAAGATCTTCCAGGACTTAAGTAAGTTTAAGGTTGAATTCTGTTAGGAAAACATTCTTACTGATTATCTCCTTGAAGACTAAAGATAATGATGACCATAATAATTTATTTCATAACAATCCAAAAAGAATACTCTATTTATGAATCGGCACTGTTGTGAGAGAACTGCTAATATAGAATATTAAGAGAAGCGTGCCTGTGAGGGATAATTGTTCTTAATTTTAAAGAGGTTATATTCATATTAAAAGACCAAACATTTTCTTCTTTTTTAAAGCACTTGTGGGAATCAGTTCAAGTCTCAAGAAATTAGATCTAAGGAGGGATCGTGCTAGACATGACTGAGAAAAAGAATGTGTTCAATGCAGTTTGAGAGCCAAGATTAAAACAGTTGTCAAGTGAACCTCAGCAACAGACACCAGGAACCTGCCTCAGAACTGGAAAAAGCGTAGTAACCATCTTCCCAAATTAGACTCGTTTAACTTTAATCAGATAGAGGCCTAAATGGGCTGTGTCCACATTACTAGTATTTGGGTACTTACATGATCCACACTAAGTCTGAGGATTTACCAATGCTAATGTGATGGAACATTTTCAATTGGGCCTCCCAGAGGTTTTGTCTTCAAATTGTAGTCTCATTCAGTAATTCTTCACAAGAGCACTTGTTCCAAACCCACCCCTCCCAGACCCACGAGCCCCTTCATCCCACCAGCCCACACAGAATTCCTCACATAGGAATGAGGTGGAAGAGGTTGTAAGGAGCACCTCAGTGTGCATGTTATACTGGGGACTATTAGCAAGAGTAAGTGAATCTGTCCCACAGTGGCCCCCAGCTCTGCTACTTTGAGTTGTTTGGTTCCTGTGTTTCTGTAGGACACCAGTAGGCAGAGGAAGAGCCTGGCTTCGTTTGGCATTAATGCAAAAGAAACTCTCAGAATATATGAAAGCTTTGATCAATAAGAAGGAACTTCTCAGGTATGAACACCTTGTTAAACTTTGTTCTTTTCTTGCTATGTTCTACATTGTATGAGGTTGAATCAGAAATTTGCCATTTTCGCAGATGAAAAGCAGTTGATTCGTGGCAATTTCATGTAGTTCAACTTAATACCTTCTCCCACACCTCACACACACCTATTCAAGAATAGATGTTTATTTGTTACATATGTTTAGTCTGTCACTGTGGCATATACACAGGGCAGGCCAAAATGTAATACCCCCCAAAAAACAGGAAAGGCTTTTGACACCTTAGCATGAACCCAGACCCAATAAGACAGGAAGCTGACATGTAACATGAAATTTAAAAACAACATACACAAAAAACTTTCCAGGTGGATTATAGATACAAACGGGAAAGAGAAAACAGTAAAACTTTTAGAAAAAAATATAAGGTAGACAAAAATTTCTTAAACAAGACATAAGAAGCTCTACCCCTAAAGGAAAAAATGGATACATTGGTCTACATTAAAATGAAGAACTTCATTCATCAAGAAACAAGGTTAAAAGGCAACCTGTAGAGTAAAAGGAGATATTTGTAATATATATATTCAACAAGTGATGCATATTCAGGGTATGTGAAGAACTCCTTCAGTCCAGTAAGAAAAAGACAAGTAAATGTAAAAATGAGTTAAGGATTTGAACAGGCATTTCACAAGAGAAAATCAAAATGGCTAGTAAACATAAAAAAGAGGGCTCCTGGCTGGCTCAGTCAGTAGAGCATGAGACTCTTGATCTCCCAGTCCTGACTTCAGTCCCACATTGGATGTAGAGCTTACTTTATAAATATATATAGGGGTGCCTGGGTGCCTCAGTTGGTTAAGTTGTCTGACTGTTGGTTTTGGCTCAGGTCATGATCTCAGGGTTGTGGGCTGGAGTCCCACCTCAGGCTCCACGCTCAGTAGGGAGTCTGCTTGAGGATTTCCTCCCTCTGCCCCTCTCCTCACTCATAAGCCCACATTTTCTCTGTCTCTCTCAAATAAATAAATACATCTTTAAATTATATATATATATATATACACACACACATAAATATGTACGTAGATTCACTAGCTGCCATGTAAATACAAATTAGAATAACAGTGTCGTACCACTACACACCCACCTATAAATAAAGCAGATCTGAGACAAATTTTGAAAAACAGACCAATTTTTTAAAGACGCTTTAAGATTGAAAAATTATCCCTTGCATCTCAGATACAAATATGTGGGGAAAGCATAAGTAATCACTTCAGTGAAAATACCATTCTGGTCACTTTTCTTTCAGCTGGACTATTATCTAGAGTCTATTCATGTACTTATTATCTAAAATAAACTATCCAAGCCATCCTTTTTTTTTTAACTTTTTTGCTATTATCATAGTACCCATATTCAACTATGAGGCCAGCATTTTCTGCTTGTCTCGAGATTACATCATTGGATTCTTGAGGTTTTATTATTGGCATTACGTGAATTTCTCTTACAGCGAATTCTATGAACCCAATGCCCTCATGATGGAAGAAGAAGGAGCCATAATCGCTGGTCTCCTGGTGGGTCTGAATGTCATTGATGCCAATTTCTGTATGAAAGGAGAAGACTTGGACTCTCAGGTATGCAAAAGATGCTCAGTTACCAAGTGGGTCACTCTGAGTTCTATTATCTCAGAATTTGGATGGATCAGATTATACCAACCAAATTAAGGGAAATTCTGTGAGTCATAAATGGGATTTTTAAATTTTTGATGTGAATATAAACAATATCTTTGTTTTTCCTTCTAACTTGACTCATTTATGTATTATGAATGTTTTTCAAATTCTTATCTTGACTGTAATCCCTGTTTAAAATATTTTGTACAGACCGGGGTGCCTGCGTGGCTCAGTCAGTTAAGCATCTACCTTCGGCTCAGGTCATGATCCCAGGGTCCTGGTCAAGCCCCACATCAGGCTCCCTGCTCAACAGGAAGCCTGCTTCTCCCTCTCCCACTCCCTCTGCTTGTGTTCCGTCTCTCTCGCTGTCTCTCTCTCTCTCTGTCAAATAAATAAATAAAATCTTTAAAAAATAATAAAATAAAATAAAAATAAAATATTTTGTACAGGCTAAAATACACACACACAAGCTAAAATATATACGTGGCCATGGTAGTTACAAATACAGACTGAAGCCAAACTGTTTAGGTTCAAATTCTGCTTCTTTATTTTTTAGCTGAATAAATTTTGTAGTTAGTTTCTTGATGCTTCAGATTTCTTAGCTGTAATACAGGGACAAAAAAAGGATATCTCTATTTCATAGATTTATAGTGTGGAATAAAAGAGTTAGTACATGTGATGCACCTTGTGCAGAGCCTGAAACATAATTAATTGCTCAATAAATAAAGCTTTCACTTTCACACTCTTTCTCACCCGTTCTCTATGAAATTCTACAGCAAATTTCTGTTACTTTTTACTGTGAGAAAATGGGAAAGGAAGTAGGATATTTTGACCTGGATTTTAAAAAAGAAATAAGCTGAATAATAAAAGCAGTCCTGAAAAATTTAGACATAGTGCATCAATGAGAATTTGGAAGAATAAATACCAAAATGTTACAGTGGTGGTTGGGACTATAGGTATTTTGTATTACTTCCTTTTACTTATTTGTATTTTCTGAAACTTTTTTAAGGAAATGTGCGTTTGTAATTAGAATTTTTAAAACATTATTCCCAAAAGTGAATAGGGTTCAGTAGCAGAATACTTGAGAGAAACAAAAGAGAAAGAAACTTTAAGCCTTAAATTTATAATAAGTGTTCTATTGACTTTCTTAGGGTCTTGTGTTGACTTGCATGACCTGGTCTTCTGGTCCTGTTGCCTTAATCTCGATTCTTTACTTACTTTCAACCCCTTTTCAAGTTCTTGATTACATTACGTTTTCATCAAAAGTTTCAAATAATGGCTATGACTTTATTACTGTTTAGAATGCCCAGAAAGAGACATTATATTATGCCTTGGAAAAAGTATCTAATTTTATATTAAATTCTGAAAATTCTCTCTGTAGGTTGGAGTTATAGATTTTTCAATGTATCTCAAGGATGGGAACAGCAGTAAAGGTAGTGAAGGGTATGTACAGAGAAAATCAAGTTTCTTTTTTCTTTAATGTTCTTTGATAGCATTTCCATGTTGGAAAACATGGTCTTCTTGATCAGGAGGATTGCCCTCTCGGTTTTGTTAGAATGTGCAATATGAAACATGCATTATGGACTTACATGAAATGTTGACATTAGGAGTAACAGAGTGGGGAGTATATGGGAACTCTGCACTACTGTTTTAAGTCTTGTAAATCTAAAATCATTTCAAAAAAGTTCTTAAAATATCCATATGGTCCTTAGAAATTAAACACCAGAAGAGTACTACCTAATACCCTTTATAAATTTAGCAGTTGAAAGCACAATTAATCTGAAGTTCTTAACTTTGGACATTGAGCCAAGACTATATCGTTTTTTCTTTAAGTGTAGTGCTAGAGGTATGTGGCCTTGATTTGACTTTAATTGAAAAGTCTGGCTTTTTAACTTGCCTGTTACAAATTAGCTGGTTCCAGAAGTGAACCTCCTGTTTCCCCTCTTTATTTTCTCACATAACAATAAACACTTGATCTTTATGAAAGCTTTTTATACCAATTACTTTGAAATAAAATTAACATTGAAAGGCAAAATTATAGCCTTTGGGAAGAACTATTATTATACCAAAATCAGTTTAATTCAATTCCTATGACAAATGGAAAATTGTTATAAGTAGTACCGGCAAAGCTAAAAAGGTTATCAATTGTGAGAAGAAAATTTTTATTTTTTTAAATGCCTCTGATAGAATGTAATGTTATACCTATAACCTAAGTTATTAAGGTATGTAAGCTATAATAAAGGCTTTTTAATGTGGGGAATTTAAGTATCTGAGTCATTCTTCTTGGAGACATTATACATCAGGTCTATCTTTTGATTCAGTGTATCTGTGCTACGGTTTTTCTTTCTATGTTATATGAAAAGATTGGGGAAGGGAGGATCTTGGTACTTCTAATGTTACTTATTTTATTTCTATTCCCCACTCCACCCCACCCCACCCCAGAGATGGCCAGATTACTGCAATTCTGGATCAGAAGAACTATGTAGAAGAACTCAACAGACATCTAAAGTAAAGAATGAATAAATACTTTTACTTTCCTGGGGATTTTGTTGTGAAGGAAAGGAAGAGTAAATTGATGAGCCATGAGGATAAATTCAGGCGATACTCAACAAAAATACATAGAATTCCTGCTTGCCAGGCACTGAGCTAGGCACTAAATTAAATGTCATTTAACTATTTTGGTGACCTTTAGTGAAAGGCAGTATAAGATTAGTAAGTAATTACAACTCTAGTGATTAAGTATATAAGAATTCTTAAACATGTGACATACGCAGTTGAAAGTGGCAGCCCTCTTGGTTCAGTAGATCCAACCACATATTTCAAGACCAATTGTGGGCAAACCACTCATTGCCTTAGTACCTTTAGATTAGTTGTATCATGTTGGTCCGTTGCATTTTTCATTTATACATTGAATTGATAATATTAACTTACCCTCTCTTCACCGTCACTATCATTAATTTACCAAATACTCACTATTTTTCAGAACTGTCCAGAACATGAAACGGTCTATTGGTATTCTCAAGTACATTGACGTTCTTGTTATGCTAAAGACTGTCAAATAATTCTGAAAAATTAATACATTGATTATTATTTTTTCATAATTCTCTTATAAAGATAATTTAAGTAAGACCTATAATATGATTATACCAGTATCAGTATAAATTTTGAATAGTCTTGGGGCGCCTGGGTGGCTCAGTTGTTAAGCATCTGCCTTCAGCTCAGGTCATAATCCCAGAGTCCTGGGATCGAGCCCCATATCAGGCTCCTGCTCAGTGGGGAGCCTGCTTCTCCCTCTCCCACTCCCCCTACTCGTGTTCCCTGTCTCACTGTGTCTCTCTCTGTCAAATAAATAAATAAATAAATAAATAAATAAATAAATAAATAAATAAATAAATAAATAAATTTTGAATAGCCTTGGTTTCAGCTAGAAAATTCAAGAACAATTGAAGTATATTTCCTCTGGGGACCAAGAACTAATAATGACTACACTGAATTATGGAGATGTTAGTCAAGCGAAAGTACACTTACATTTGATAGTGAAATAGAAACATGACAGTTACTGACTCTTTTCATGCCTCAGTTTCTTTATCTATATTTAGGGATACCTACTGCATAGGGTTGTTGAAAGGAGTAAATGAAATAATGCAAATAAAATAATTTAGAAAAGTGCTTGGTGTGTGGCAAGCACTTAATTCGGGTAGCTGATTATTACATATAAGTAAACTTTAAAGTTGACAGTGCAGTGGATCAGCTCTTTTATTTCATCCAACAAGTGCTTAGTAAGTACAGAGTTCAGTGCCAAGGGTACAACAGGTAAGATCCACAGCCACTTGTGTACTGTCTTAGAGCCTGCAAGTCCACCATGAATTGTGGACATTAGACGATGGATGATACCTGTGATGGATGTTTACATGGGTAGTATAGGATGTTGTTCTGTTTTTCAAGAGAAACCATTATCTTTTTTCTTCTCTTTTTAGTGCTACAGTAAACAATCTTCAGGCAAAAGTGGATGCATTAGAAAAATCCAACACTAAACTGACAGAGGAGGTATGTGTTTTGGATATTCTTTGATTGACATACAGTTTAGTGGGCACTAGTGGAAGCAAATAGCTTGGTGCTCATCACTTGTTCATTCAACAGACATTGATTTGGGTTCTGCTGATGTGCTAGAGCTAGACAGAGATTTCTGTGTGCATTGGCTTATGTGTGCCAGATTGGCAAGCTCCCACCCTCACGGGCCTTATTTTCTCCTTGGGGAGGTAGGGTAGATAATTTAAAGAGCATTGTCGGAAGGCCAGCAATCCCTGATTGCAGGTCATGCTGCTTACAAGTCATGCGCTTCTGAGTAAGTGAGTCACTTGACCGCCAAGAGGCCCGGTTCCCTGCCTGGCAGTTGAGGGTGTTTGTACTTCTCCTTTCAGCCTTAGAGTTACTCTGAAGATCACAGAATATATATGTGAAAACCCTTAGGAAAGTCCCCAAAATAAGAATAAAAATTAACCTCGTGTTTTGCTTCCGTTTAGTAAAGAAATTTTTTAATTTGTCAGTGGCTAAGCCACATATTTTTTTCTTCAATAGCATTAGATGTTTCTATGAAAAATCTTTTTTTTTTTTTAAAGATTTTATTTATTTATTTGAGAGAGAGAGAATGAGAGAGAGAGCACATGAGAGGGGGGAGGGTCAGAGGCAGAAGCAGACTCCCTGCCGAGCAGGGAGCCCGATGCGGGACTCGATCCCGGGACTCCAGGATCACGACCTGAGCCGAAGGCAGTCGCCTAACCAACTGAGCCACCCAGGAGCCCTCTATGAAAAATCTTAAGTAAAATTTCCAGGTGGCAAAGACTTTGTTTATCTTATCTATATCTTTTTTTTTCCTAAGATTTTATTTATTTGACAGAGAGAGACACAGCAAGAGAGGGAACACAAGCAGGGGGAGTGGGAGAGGGAGAAGCAGGCTCCCCGCCGAGCAGGGAGCCCGATGCGGGGCTCGATCCCAGGACCCTGATGAGATCATGACCTGAGCCGAAGGCAGATGCTTAACGACTGAGCCACCCAGGCTCCCCTATCTTATCTATATCTTAATCTATTTCTTATTATAACTATCCTCTTCTATACCATGGCATACATTTGGTTTAAATAAAACCAAGTTCAAGCACTAGTCAGGAAGATGCCTTTAAACAGTTTTCTTCAGAACATTTTCATTGCTATAACTTTAAAACACCTTCCTTACTACTAGCTCTGTGGGCTTCACTTTTGGATGTAGATTCTTAAATTATATTAAAACTTAATGGAAGGGCACCTGGGTGGCTCAGATGGTTAAGCGTCTGCCTTCGGCTCAGGTCATAATCCCAGGGTCCTGGGATCGAGCCCCGCATCGGGCTCCCTGCTCAGCGGGAAGCCTGCTTCTCCCTCTCCCACTCCCCCTGCTTGTGCTCTCTCGCTCTCTTCTCTCTCTGTCAAATAAATAAATAAAATCTTTAAATTAAAAAAAAAAAAGCTTAATGGAAATGATCCTTAGAATTTTACCCTACAAAGCTCTTGAAATACACTGATTAGAAGTGTTGTAGTGTGGGGGCACCTGGGTGGCTCAGATGGTTGAGTGTCTGCCTTCGGCTCGGTTCATGATCTCCAGGTCCTGGGATCGAGCCCCACGTGGGCTCCCAGCTCAGCGGGGAGCCTGTTTCTCTCTCTGCCTCTGCCTCTCCCCCCTGCTTGTGCTCTCTCTGTCTCTCTCCCTTTCAAATGAATAAATTAAAAAAAAAAATCATTAAAAAAAAAAAAGAAGAAGTGTTGTAATGTGAGTCGGCTGCTACTCTGTTGAGGCAATATGGCACCGCAGTGAAGCATGGGCTCTAGAGCTCGGCTACCTGCGTTCATGTCCCAGCTCCGGCACTTGCTAACTTTCTCATCCTGGCCGATCACTTAAGCCTCTATTTCTTGGTTGTCTTCTCTAAACTGGGAATGATAATAGTAACGTTTTTGCGGGAATTGAATGATAATATGTAAGGACCTAGGCCAGTGCCTGACACACCAAAAGCAGCCAGTAAATATGGTCATTAATTTTATTCCCTCAGTCACAGGACTTGTCCTCCTGATCTAGATTTATTTTATTACCAATATTAATTTATTCATTCATGTACTTATTTTGCCAGTAACATTTATTTTCTTGAAACTTTGAATTTTTAGAGACAGGTAAGCCCTGTGTGTAGGCTTTATAAAGAACAGATAAGACAAATCAGATCTGTCTTTTCCCATTTCCATATATTTTGGATTTAAGAGGGCCAATAAAAAACAAAAATCAAAGCCCCTCTTTTCCTCTGCTGAATTCTGAACCAGTATGATAAAATGAGAAGAATTAAACAGATGAAGGTACATAAATGTCCACTTTATTACTGTAAAGCTGAATTAGAAGGCCCACTGGGATGCACAGCCATAGTTTCCTGATACTTTCTCTGATGTTAAGGTCTTGGGAGAACCTGTTGGAGGATGTCTCTGGATCTAAAGGCCCACTTGTCCAAAGTTAACTTTTTTCTGCACTGTTAGGCCCGTGGAGCAGAGAGGGACATATGGACTCCAGACTTGCCTCTAGAAAGCATGCCTGAGCCCCGGCTCCTCTGTACTTAGGCACGAGAACAGGGACCAAGTAGAACCTGTGCCCAGTGCTCGTGAGGAGATCATGTAAAGGGAGACTAACCTGGCCGAGAGGAGCCTGCTGAGGGCCTTTCCTACGCTTACTCAGCCTCTTCCATGTTGTCTGTGGGAAATCAAGGTTAGCAGGTGCGGAAGAGGAAAAAGTGTTTCCACTTTACTTTTCCCTCCTGTGGAATGCGGATATAAACGTCTCCCCTGAGCAATATACTGCTAATAACATTACCTTACCTTTTCAGGCACTGAAATGACAAATCTCTTCAATACTTAATGGCATCTTTTAGAGTGAGAACTTTGAAGTTTCATTTCTTTACTCTTAAAAATCATCTATCAAAGGTCTTATGTAGGGTTTATGAGTCCCAAGGCATGACATGACCTCTTCATTAAACATTTTAGAAATAGGTATTATAACTAAATATAAGTTACCCATGAGAACACCCTTGAGGTAAACAATCTTAAGTTAACATTTTGGTACTGAAAAAGAGTTTACACAAAAAGCAACAATAGGAGATATTTTTTATTTTTATCTAATCTAGTTTAAAAATACTTTTCCTAATTTCTCATACAATAAGAACATTTTTATGTGGTTATAGATAACCTTCTTTCCTTCTAAGAATATTCAAGCCTGAAAATTATATCCTAGCAGATCATGAATTATCCTGTGCTAAAAAAAGATTAAAAAATTTTTTAAATTTTTTTCAACAGCTTGCAGTTGCAAACAATAGGATTATTACCCTACAAGAAGAAATGGAACGAGTTAAAGAGGAAAGCTCCTACATATTGGAATCCAATCGGAAGGTTAACCTTACTGGATTTATAAAATATTCCTAGAGAGTGTGTTAACATGTGAGCAGTGGGAGGGGGACCTCTACTCTAGAGGACTCTTTGGAAGCAGCAAACACTTGCACATATCAAGCACACTCTTTTTACTGAGACTCCGTGCAGAATCGGGTAATGATGGAGGTTCTGTGGGTGTGAGGTTCCTCCCACAGATGCTCCTTGGCTTCACCGCCACCTCTATCTGTTGAGAAACTTCAAGAACCAGTCTAATTTAATGTCTTACTGTGTACTCATGATATGTACAATATTTAAGTGTTATATTTATTATATTAAATATACCATCATTTTGAGATCATGTTACTGCTTTGTAAGGAGTGTTTATTTGGTACCACTGGGAGTTACCATGTAAATGAGTTTTCTAAATAACTTAATCCCTTAAGTATCAAACTTCTGATATATGTCTACACGGATTTTTTGCAAACTTTTTATGTACTGCACAATCCTAAGCAGTCTTAAGTAAAGGACATAATTTAACACATTTAGCCGTTTATGATGACTAAAGATCCTAATTATTAACATCGGCAATTCCATGCTAACTTAAAATGACGCTACTTTGGGGGCCTGTTGGAATTGATAGAGCTTCTAGCACCTATACTTAAATGTTTCCAGATTGCTCTGGGTGCTTTTTCTCTGCTTTTTTGATCTCACTGGCATCTCTTGCTTCTCACTGCTGTTGATATTAGTGTCTCCCCCCTCCCTTTTATCTGCATGCTTCTCTTCTTCTGTGACCTCGGAATCCAAATACCCATGGTTATTAAAATTGTTCTGAAAGAGTAAGCAGCTAGTCTCTGAGTGGGGACTAGAGTAGTTCTCTCTGAGTAATGGGTTTGACTTTAACATGTGGACGTTGTGAAAACAACTGTGACTGCTCGGAAGAATTTTCTGATGACCTACTTACTTTGAGCTATGATCTCTCTGGATGGTTGGAGACTCCAAATGTGAGATCTCTGGAGAAGGAATATATTACCATTTGAACCTTTGGCCCAATTCACATTTTACAGTAAATGTCACTTTGTTTTTAGAGGCTTTTAAGACTTCTTGCACTTGATTTGGTAAGCTATCTTAGGACTTTAAACTAAATGGCAAGAAAACCCAGTTCTGCTGAGAATTTTTTATTTTCTAAGCTGCTTCCATTTCTTTGTTGTCTTTATTCATTGTTATACCTGTTTAATTAAATATAAAATATAATCATTTTCCCTAGTGTCAGCTAACTCTATATAGATTTTTCTAAATCCTTATATATATATATATATATATATATATATATATACTATTTTATTTATCTTTTCAAGGGTCCTAAGCAGGACAGAACTGCAGAAGGGCAAGCACTGAGTGAAGCCAGAAAGCATTTAAAGGAGGAGACACAATTGCGACTGGTAAACTTCACTTACGTTCTAGTAGTTCAGGAACCCATTAAACATAAAAGCCCACTTAGACGTTTGATCTTACAGACCAGGCTCAGGAACATTAGTACTGGGCCAAAAAATTTTTGTAGATCCTAAAAAACTGTTTCTCACTCTTTTTTTTTTTTTAATTTTGAATACATTATGAATATAATTAGACATAAAGGCAAATTTTCATATGGTTGATTTTTACCTTCACTGGACATTACTTACATAAAACACTCTCTTTTTTTCCTTTTTTTTTTTCTTTTAATTCAATTAGCCAACATAGAGTACGTCATTAGTTTCGGATGTAGTGTTCAACACTCTTTATGAAGGATATTACCTTCTTCCGTAGGAAAGGCTAGTTGCTTATTGATGAATACAGTGGATTTTGCATATTGGAAAACTGTAGAAAATTTTTAATTATCGGATTCAACTGAAATGACATTGAGGAAGCCCTCTTAGCTAACTCTTAGGGTGGATTTTTCCATATCACACTATTTGCTGAAGAGAATGTTGTTCGTACAGAGGTCTTTTGTAACTCTTGCAATACTTCAGTTGCTTCTGTGACTTGTTTTTTAATTAATTTTTTTTTTGGTGTAGTTCACACGGTGTTACATTAGTTTCAGGTGTATGTTTCTCACTCTTTTTAACCCATATTCCCTATAATGCTTTCCCAGTCCATTTTCTGAGTACTCTCAACAGCCAACAGGATTTTTGCCAATCTTTTTTTTTTTTTTTGCCTTTTTTTTGCTTTTATAGTTTGTGTTATAAGAACATTAGGTATATGGGGAACCTACTCTTCTAAACTTTGTGATTCCCCACTCCTACTTCAGTCCTCACTCCTGCAAAGATTCTGATAGGTCTCCTTGGAGGATGTATGTGTGTGTGTATAAATGTATAATAATGAATAATACTCCTGTAATAGATTTTATCCAAGTGTTAGTATATTGATACATCCCTGGTATTGGTAAATTAACTCCTCCTGCAATTTTGATGATATGACAAACAAAAGGATCTCCCCTCACCAGTAGTATCTCTGAAAATAGGAAGGAGCCTGAAAATAAAGGTGATCTGGTTTGTACTAAAATTATCACCACCTAACAGTGTATAGAATTTCAGATGTTCTGAGAAGATAGCAATATAATTTTAACATCCTTGAAATAATTATCATTTTCCTTCTACGTGTTTATGGATTAGATCTCAAAATACTTTCTATATGGAAGATCCTAAAATATGTCAGCATTTTCAGAAGCAATCTGATTTAATCAAGCTAACCGTGCACAGAGGAGCACCTCAATTAAGTGGCACATGTGACTTTAAAATCTGACACAAAATTTTCCACATCCTTTTGTCACGAAAAGATACATGTTTGTTCAAAAAGGAAAGAAACCAAGCAAGTAGGTCCTAGAATGCCCCAGGGAACAGCATGGATGCAGAAGAACCTCAGGTCGTTGTATCTTTGATCCTCCAAGTCATGTTGTAGTAATAATGATTGAACCAAAAAAGGAGTTTCATGTTAAGTGAATATAAAAATTCAGTTAGTCATATCGATCATTCCCACTTATTGAGACGTTTACCCTGGCGACCCAGAATATCTTTTGGGTTCCTTGGGCTCTTGACTATGACGTCAACATTCAAAATGAAGAGAATTGCAAGTGCTTCATTTTAATGCTGGCTACGGTAGCACTTTATATACATTTCTGTAATAGGACATGACATCAGTTGTCTCACTGTAATGAAGTGCTGCAAGTATGTGTCTATTTTAGACATATTAAATAGCATTATCTCCGGCCCACCAAGTTTTTTGGATTTGCAAATTATTGAGTAAATGTTTTTATAATTATCCTAGTTATTATTTTAGTTGTTAATATCTCTGCATTGAATGATAGCTTGTAGCTATTTTGCCCAAATATTCAGACCTGAGAGTGTTGGAATTTACACCTTTTCCTGTGGAATTTCATAGTTTGTACTTCGTTGAGGAAAGAGAGAGTAAGCAATTTATTTACCTTTGGGGGCAGGATGTTGAAAAAGAACTGGAGATCCAGATCAGCATGAGACAGGAGATGGAATTAGCTATGAAGATGCTGGAGAAGGATGTCTGCGAGAAGCAGGACGCCCTGGTGTCGCTGCGACAGCAGCTGGATGACCTCAGGGCTCTCAAGCATGAACTTGCCTTTAAGCTGCAGGTAGGGCGAATAAGAGGGATATGCTCACTGGCTCTCTCAACTCCCAGGGCTCCCCCTGCCCCTCTTGTTCTCTAGAATCACACTTGACATACAGGAGGGAAGAGTCACATCTCATTTTGAGGCTGGCTGCCAATAAACCACTTTAGGAATCAGCCCGTCGTAGGATCCTGTGTTGCTGTTCTGGAAAGCCGTGGCTACTTTTCAAATTGTAGTGGGGAAACAGGTCTTTTTTATCCTATAAGATAATTTCTACACTGCAGCCTAACCTGTCAACTGACTTTATATTCCATTAGCTCTTTTTTTTTTTGTCATTCTTTATTTAAATTCAATTTTTAACATGTGGTGTATTATTAGTTTCAGGGGTAGACTTTAGTGATTCTTCAGTTGCATAGAACACGCAGTGCTCATTCCATCATGTGCCCTCCTTAATGCCCATCACCCAGTTACCCCCCCCTCCCCCCACCCAGCAACCCTCAGTTTGTTTCCTAGAGTTAAGAGTCTCTTACGGTTTGTCTCCCTTTCTGATTTCGTCTTGTTTTATTTTTCCTTCCCTTCCCCTATGTTCATCTGTTTTGTTTCTTAAATTACACATGAGTGAAATCATGTATTTGTCCTTCTCTGACTGACTGATTTTGCTGAGCAATATGCCATTAGTTCTTATACTGAAATATGATTATTGATGAACCTTCTGATGTTCATTTCTGTGACAAAACTGCATATAGCAGTACTAATTTTAAACGTTGCTTTTTGTTTTTCTCCATTTGGGAATTAACTGATATACAAATATATGAGCATTTCTGTTTCTCTGTTTCACACTTACCATTAGGTTCAAAAGGCATGTGTGATTTATTTCAGGATTTTATATTCTATGTCCATCACTCATACTTCTTTTCCATAACAGAGTTCAGACTTAGGAGTAAAACAGAAAAGTGAACTAAACAGTCGTTTGGAAGAGAAGACTAATCAGATGGCTGCTACCATCAAACAACTCGAACAAAGGTAAAAGTGCTATTTCTTGAGTGAAACATCTTGGGCTTTCAGTGCTGGAAGGGAAGAGAATGTGCTATGCATTTGGCAAGCAAAGTGTATGAAATTCTCCCAACTTAACACCAGACATGCTGGTAGAAAGCCAGTTAAATTTTGTGTTTCTCTAAGATGTCACTGAAAACATTTTTAAGAAACCTCAGCCTCTCCTGACTGTTTTGAACAGCAGAATGGTAACCCTCCTATATAATCCCATTTCAATGTCATGTTGGAGGAGGGAGACCTACAAGGATGAAAGCACTTTCTTTATTTTTAAAGATTTTATTTATTTATTTATTTTGGCTTTAAAGATGTTATTTATTTATTTTTGCAAGAGAGTTCGAGCATGCATGCACAAGGGGGGAGGGGCAGAGGGAGAAGCAGGCTCCCTGCCGAGCAGGGAGCCCCATGTGGGACTTGATCCCAGGACCCTGGGATCATGACCTGAGCCGAAGGCGGACACTTAACGACTGAGCCACCCGGGCGCTCTGAAAGCACTTTTACGTATGTTTGCAGTTGTTGTTTTCCTCTGCGTCACCAAATTCTTGGAATGCACTGGTGCTAATGATGCCAGGATACTGAAGGCCCTTCCAACACTTGAACTCCTTTCTCTCCTCCCTCCTATCTCCCTTTGCTCTCTTCTTTCTCTGTAGTGTCCACTGTCACCCCTGCCCACAATCTTAGGTCTGTCTCCAGCTCTGTCCCCCTCTAAAAACCCAGTCTTGGGTTTTCATCCTCTGACCAGCTGTTTCCATCTGGTACCTACATTTCAGTCAGCCCGAAACACATCCTCTCCCTGTGCTACTTTGTTTCTGTTTGGCTGAAACCGCCATTTCCTTCGTGGTGACTTAGCTGCCAAGAGAAATGGCCGAGATTTCAAGACTGAAGGAACATTCCGCGTGGCCAGTCATTCTGTGTTGCCACCTTGAACACCCACTGATCACCCTTCTTTCACTTGAGCCAGACTGCACGACTGCAGGCCTCTGCGCACGCTTGCACTTTTTCCATCCGTCCCTTGCCTAATAGCTCCACCAGCTAGGAAGGCCATTCCTCATCCACTGCCTTGTTCTTCAGATCCGTTTTGTACATTCAGGCTCAAATGCCACCACCTCTCCTAAAGCTTCCGCTGATGCTGCTTCTCAGATAAAAATAATCTACCCATTGTCCTTCTTGGAATTCCCATAGCCTTACATCCATACCTGTCCATGCTGCTTACTTGTCACCTTCTGCCCCACGTTATAACCCTTTATAGATGTATCTTCTGATGAGAGTGTGAGTTCCTCCAGGTTACTTAATGAATTTTTTAAGTTCCCTCATTGGATCTGTCTTAGTGCCATGAACATACACGGCATTCACTTAGCAGATGCATGAATGAACAAATGAATGGATGACTGGTTTTATTCAGATAATTCTTGACCAGGGAGCGTCCTGAATGGCACTGCATATTAATGGTAACTCACAAGTTATTGCAAATTAGTAAATACGTTTGAAACTTCTGATTTGGCTGATTTTAAATAAAAAGGTATCGGTCCATCTGGAAAGTTCCCTAAGTGCTTGCTCATAAGCAGTTATATGTTTATGATTTAACAAATTAATTTTGGTGTTCATAAATTGGGTTTTTGAAATGTTGCATAGAATTATTTTTCAATAGTTTTTTGACTTGGCATTTGAAGTAGACAGAACTAAAATAATGACTTCTTCAAGTATTAAGCTGACTTATTCTCTTGCTATTTTTGTCTTTCCCATTTATTCATTTTCTCATTCGCCTTTCACTCCATTTTTATTTTTATTTTACTAATTTAGTGAAAAGGATTTGGTGAAACAGGCAAAGACCTTAAATAGTGCAGCAAATAAACTGATCCCAAAACATCATTAGGCATTTGCATTTGGTCACCTCGCAAGTCTGATGTACAACTTAATTGTAAAGAAAGAAATCTGAAAGTTATTACATTTAAGCTCTGATTCTACATAAAATGTCACCAAAAATTGACTCTGAATTTGTTGGACTTAAAAAAAAAAACAATTTGATATCTAGGCCGTGGGTTTTTTCTTCTTTACTTTCTCCCCAGAGTTAGAACATTTAGTATAAGTTCTTAATTAATTGCCAAGTAAACTTTGAGAAATTACTTTGTTGACCAATAAGTAAACACACCATTTAAATGTTGACCGATAAAGAAACACACCATTTAAAAAAAAAAAAAAAAAAACAGCCTAGGGAATGGACGCTCTGTGCATATATTATTGATGCCTTTACAGCCCAGGCCCAGACAATATCAGATTCTAGGTGTGCTGTCCGTACCAGCGAGCCTGCTCTGCCTTGCAGTGTAATGAACCACAGGTGACAGCCGTATGGACTTGGACTCTTCTACAGTCGCTCTGTCTCGTAGGCCATGGTCCCTTTCCACTTTCCTTGTGTAGGTTTACTCCCCAAGCCACGGATAAGTACTTAGTATTTCACTACAGTTCTGTTCTCAGTAACCAAGATTGCTTGCAACTTTTTTGCCTTAGTGACTTTGGGGGGGGCGGGGAACCCACATCCTTACATTTCTTTAAAGTATAGAGATAAAGTTAGTGATTAGGTAACTTATGATAACATAATGTGGAAGCTTGGAAAACCCTCCTAATATTTGTCATCTTCTACCTCTGCCATTTTCCTGCAATTCCACTTCCTATTTAGGTAGCTCAGAGAGAATAATTTTAATGAAAAAACTCGTCTCCCATAAAAACAAAAACAAAAAACACGACATTACACAATTTTCAGATCTATTCTGCTTTTCCTTTTGGAGTAAAGACAACAAGGTATAGACATGAGTGATGGTTTCCCACCTGTCATTTCTTGCTAGAGACATTTACTTAAGAGTTTCTGTTACTTTCTGTTCAGATGGGGATTTGCTAATGTCTCTGGGAAACTAACAATCTAATTATTAGAAAACCATTTCAGCGTAGGAAACAGATACATGATAAACTCTTTATTATTTAGTCTAAAAATAAAAATTCCCAGTAGGTATCCATACATAGTAATTAGCAGGGCTTCTTTTTCTAAGTGACCACAGTTCTACTCCCCTTTCTAGGCTTTACATTGTAAATAATCCTATAAATACTTGGATTTTTTTTTTAATGACTTTTGATTTGGGGGAACAGGCTTTACATAAGCCTTCATTCCTTCAAAAAGTCTTGGCAGAAAAAAAAATTTTTTTTCTCATTTTGTTATGATTTGCAGCATTTCAGCTGCTTAGGTGGGAACAAAGATAACCCCCCTTTGCTTCCAGCTTTTGAAACTCTTTACCTTCTTCTTGGAAAAACCAGAATTAAGAGAGTAAGAGATTTCACACGTGCTTCTATAGGTCCTTACAGACTTGAACCAAAGTCAAGTCAAAGAGCATATGACCAACCTCACGGAATAACGTGTGCTCTTGAACTTATTTTAGTTCTTATAATTTTGCACCTATTCTTATCTTCATCAACCTTTTGTGGTGATGAGTTGCCTTTTCTATGAGCATTTGGAAAGAGTGCTCAACCACTAAAATAAAACGTTTTAAAGACTACAGGTAGCATGCTTTCCAATTCTATTCTATAGAGCCCCAGATGTTTCACCCCTTAGAACATGGTTCTTTATAGGTGCAAAGTTATGGGATATATAGAAGAAAACATTCATTAGAATTTTTTAGAGAATATGATCAGGAATCTTACATAGGCCCAGTGCTGAGTTGTTTGTCCACTTGGTCACACACCACCTGGTAGGAATGGAAAGGGAAAGAGACGGCCAAACTCTGACAAAGGCTTTTCCTTAGAGAAGAACTCAAAGCCTAGGTTAAGGGTTAATGTACAATGTCAGTGATTTAATATAAGTTGTGGTGTAGGGAAAGGACCAGGAAAATGTTCTAATTTCACATATAAGAAAGTAGTTGCCCATTTGCAAGTTCCAGTTATGTGTGTAAAGCAGAAATATAAGGTACCAGACCTATTAGGAAATAAACACGAAAAAGTGGGTTTAACTTTAATGGACTGTGTTGGCTTTGGATATGGATTTTCTAAAAAGTGATGTTTTATTGTTTATCACCTAATGGCTGTAAACTGTAGTACTAGAATAAAAAAAAAATGGAAAATCAACTTTTCCTCTGCCTGGTTCACCTTCATCTTGCTTTTCTTTATAGTTTGTTTCTTCTCCATCTCCCCCTCCCCCCCGCCCCCGCCGCCTGTATAATTTCTTCCCCTGTGTCCTGCAAAGCTTTTTTTTTTTTTCCCTTCTCCTCTGTCTCTCCACGCCTTCTTCGTTGGGTTGCTTTATTTTGTGTTGTAAGCTTGGTCTTCCTCCCCACCATGGCTTTTGTTTTTTATCACAAGTTCATATGGCTCACATCCAGATTGCGCCAGGCTGAGCGAGGCCGCCAGTCTGCCGAGTTGGACAACCGTCTCTTCAAGCAGGACTTCGGAGACAAGATCAACAGTCTGCAGCTGGAAGTAGAGGAGCTCACCAGGCAGCGGTGAAGAAAGGGTGCCAGGAGCTGCCCCGGGAGGAGGGGGGTGCGGGGGGGGGGGGTTAGTTCTAAGGCTAGCAGCAAGAGAAGGAGGAACCCTGAGCCAGCCCTCTCCGTTCTGTCCTTGCAACATCCTTTCTCTGGAATTAGCATTCAGGAAGCTTTGCATATATCAGCATTTCCAAAGTTTGTCAACATGCTTTGCCATCAAAGGAGGAAATTAGAACGCAAGGTCCCAGATAAATAGAAAGGAATGAGAGTTAATAGCCAACATAACACTGATAATAATAGTATTCCCTAAATTTTTACTGTGTGCTGCGAACTTTACAAAGTACTACACAGGCATTTGGTCCTAACATCTTCCCATCAACCCTGTTAGTAGGTAATTGTCTTACCCCCATTGTCAGATGAAATTAATTAAGCTTAATGGGTTCAGTTTGTCCAGATTGACACAGTTCAGCTAGTAAGTGGCAGCACTCTAAAAGTCTGTCTCTCTCTGACTCCGAGTCCTTAACCACTCTTCCATATTGCCTGTCAAATGAGACTCAATTCTTTGCTGAAGCCATTGACTTCAAACAAAGAGAACTTTGTTGTTGGATATAAAAGCACATGGCTACTAAGGACACTAGTGGCTGGCAGTGGAACTGGGCATTGAACATTAAAGAGAGACCAGCTAATTAAGATGAAATGGGACGACAGTGTTGGTGATTTCTTACCGTTTCTTGCTGAAATTTTGTAAATACTGTCTTTTAATTATAGTAAATCCTACTAAATGTCATTCAGTTGACTACAACTCTTTATTAAGAGTTACTATTAAATACTGATATTCAGAGTGGTGACCCTTAGGCACTGGGAGATCTTAAAGCACATCCTTTTTTTTTAAGATTTTATTTATTTATTAGAGAGAGAGCATGAGCAGGGGGAGGGGCAGAGGGAGAAGCAGACTCCCTGCTGAGCTGGGAACCCCATGTGGGGCTGGATCCCAGGACCCTGAGATCATGACCTGAGCCTAAGGCAGACATTTAAAACCGACTGAGCCACCCTTAAAGTACATTCTTAATTATCCAGGAAAGATTAAACATTATCTATATTTTAGTGTTACTGGTTTTACTGTATTGTGTTTTAACACCTTAAAACCTGATTGTCCATATATATCTGGTAACTTTTTATTAATCAAGTATTAAAATTTAATTGCTGAGCTTTAAGAAAAGGGTTTGGCATTCTTTAGAGAATATGAGTGCAGAAATCCAAATTTTGATCCTTTTCCTCTCCCGCCCATCCCAGGCACCAGCTTGAGTTAGAACTAAAACTGGAAAGAGAAAGAAGGTTACAGAACAACAGGAGCATCCCAGGAAAGGTTTCTCAGAAGCCAGAACCCAAAACGGTAATATTGGATTATTCCCTTGGTCATTTACTTAATTTTTAGAGGCTCCCTTGATGGGCCGGACAGTTTTCTCTCTGGGAACACAAGCTTAATGCTGTGGCCTCGAGTATGTAGATTGCAGACAGGACCCAGAGTGAACACAAGGCCTTGATTCTCAGTCTACCTCTAGATACTCTCTTGATTTCACATGGAAAAGAGGCCTCATAACCATGATTTCCAGTGACCCTCTTATCCCTTTCACTTTAAGTAAGATTATTTGGGTGTCTTAACAAACACTTGTGTTCCTTGGACTTCTGCTGGCTAGTATCTTTAATAATATGTTATAGTAATCCTTCCCAACTCTGAATTTCCCTTTAACAGAATTGTCTTAAATGTGGATTTGCTTCTGTATGCCTTTTTCAGAATCATGAGGATTTCAGTTTTAGTATACTCAAGGTACTTTTCTCTTGGGAAAATTAGAACAAGAGGGAACTAGAGTTGCTTGGGGAAAAGAAAGTAATACAGAATGTCTAAAGAACAGTAGTAGAAGTTTCTACACAACAGTCTTAGGAGAGAGACCCCCAGCTCCTATAATGGTGAGGAAGCTAAAGTTGAATAAGACCATCTCTGGGACCCAGGAAACAGGAGCCAACCTCTTCAAACAGTAAAATCAGAAAAGTATGGAATACTTACTCAAAGACAAACACAGGAAAAAAGTAGCTTCTTTGTTTATATTACATATAACAAAGCAGGACAAATGTATAAGCTTCTTTAACATTTCTAGAGAGATGCCAATTTGCTGGAGAATAGCAAATAATGGTAAATAGAAATGTATTATATAGTACTCATTACTACTCATTTAAAGTGTGCAAAATACCACTGTTTTTGTAGCATGCCATCTTTATTAGTTTAGTTTAGCAACCGTGAAATCTACTTAGCAGGGCTTACGGAGATTTATTCACATTCTTGTCCGATCTTACCCTGCTTTTCCAGTGAGGCCCTACGTTCCTCAGTCTTGAACTGCCCTGCAGTAGAGGCTCCAGGAGTGTAAATACTGCGTTAACCTCCTTTCCCTGACACGAGGGGTCTAAGAACGTGCATTCTATTTTTGGAGGCTGATGGACGGCAGCTCAGGACAGACAGCAGTGTGTGTGTGCCACAGAAAGAATTTGTCACTAAAAACTGCCCAGGCAGGGCTTCCAAGCTTCGGTAGAAATGCAGTTTGGAACTTGACATCGGTCCTTCAGAGTAGAAAACTCCTCAGGTTGTATGGGCTGCGTAAGTTGTCGTGACATCGTGGCAGCTACTTGACTGAGTGCCAGAGGATTACAGTCTGCTCCATACGGTGGTGCTTGGTTTCCCCAGTTTTCCAGAGCCCAGCTGGGACTCGGGGGTGGAGACAGATGTAGATACACGGAAGTAACTAAGATACCCTAAGACGTAACTGATACTTTGAGCCTACTCTGTAAATAAATAGGATATATTCTGAATTTTATTTGAATTGCAAGAGTTAAGAAGGAAAACATCTACTCTGAAAATCATTTGTTGCAAACTCTATCAGAACAATTTGTTAAGAAACTACTTAGAGCAAAGAATGAAGGAAAATACCTTGAAAGTTAAATTCCTTCCCTAACAAAAAAGCTGCTTAGTTTTATACCTAAGCTAAGACACTACAGAAGAAAATGTCTGCAACATCATCACTGTTGAGCCTTCTGAATAACTAATAAATTGGGCTGTTTTCTCTTGGCAGGATGGGAAGCACAAAATTCAAGAGGAAAATATTAAACCAAAAAAGCCCCTGGACGAAAGCCACAGGTGTTTGTTAATAAAGTACTAACGAAGACATAACGCTGTTTGGGGGTGGTGGGAAAGAGGGCGCTTTTGATATAATTGGCAGTGGCACAGACCAGACACTGACTTGTAATATTAATATTCCAGAAAGACATTTTGAAGGGGGAGTGACTAAATCAACCAGAGAACACATATTAAACCAAACCCACTTAGTCCATTTCAGAAGAAAGAGGGGTGATCAAGCTGCCCTCTGACTCTTCCCTGGTTAATCCCCAAGCTCAAATTATCTATCACTTCAGAGATTATTTCTCATCTTTACTGGATTGGTATCACAGAGGAACAGAGTACAAATCATAGCAATTCTTAGGTTCTTAAATGTACTCGAGTATGACTTGTTTCCACCTACATGCTACGTGAAAGGCAGCTATGTTTCAAATAAATCCTCTCATTTTCTTTGTGTCCTTTCTCTTAAGGGTCTCAAACAGCTTAACTTGATGCCTTTTTCTTAACTCTTCATCTGATCTGCTCACTATGAAAACCATAGGATTGTTTCAAGGAAATTGACTTTTAACAATTATTTTAGCAGGTAGAAATATAACAAAATGTTACATGGTGCCACGGCATTAAAAAGCGAAGGAGGTCCAACTGTGTAACATTCTGGAAGAGCCAACACCATGGAAACAGTGCTTGCCAGGGGTTCGGGGGTATTCATGGGTGAGCACAGAGCATTTTTTAGGATGGTGAAAATACTTACATGGTACTGTAATGATAGATACATGTCCTCCATTTGTCCAAACCCCTAGAATGTACAACACCAAGAGTGAACCCTAATGCAAACTGCAGACTTTGAGTAGTTATGATGTGTAATGCAGGTTCATCGATTGTCACATCGTTTGTGCTCCCCCCCACCCCCCACCGCCGGGTGTGGAATGTTGATACTGGGGGAAGGGGGGAGGGCAGGCAAAGTGTATGGGAAACGTCAGTACTTTCTGTTCCGTTTTGCTATGAACCTAAAACTGCTCCCAGAATCAGTCTGTTACAACAACAGCAGCAAAGGTTAGTAACAAGAAAGATAGCACAGAGGGGCTTGGAGAGCACTATACAGCATACATTTTTGGCAACTGTCCCTGTCCAGGCTTTGATGCCTCAAGAATGAGGTAGAGTGTTACCTGAGCAAAGTCGCTGCTGGAGAAGAAAAATCACATAGTCCCAACAAAAAACTCATTATGCAGGTACTTGACCTCCAAGGCCAGAATGATTCCAAAGCCTTTAAGTTTACTCCCTAAGAGAGTACAGCCTAATCCAGGACTAACCTTAAACTACCCTACAGATCAGCATGGGCCACAGAAAGGTACTAGAAAGGCTGTAAAATTAACGAGGGCATAAAAGAGCCTTTCAGAATCAGCCCCATTCCAGACTAAAACCAAGCCATTTACAGACAATCAGGAGTACCTTACATGCCAGCCTCTGATTTCGGC